GAGGTCCCTCTGCTCTCTAAATTTGTGAGTGTAAAGGACATCTAATACTAGATGGTTACAAAGTGATTAAAAAGGAAGAGATTGGCCTTCAGACCATGGGAAGTCACAGATATTTATTGCGTGTATATTTCTCCTGTCCTTTAGTGCTTGTTTGTCACAGGCCATGCTCTTGGAGGCAACAGGCATCTGGGCCAGGAGTTTCTGGACCCCTGATGGTAATAAAGGCATAACCTAGCATGATGGGGTGACAAGGAAAGCTAGACAACGTGCAGCATGACCCTAGTCCTTGGGAATCCACGGAATGATTGCTTCAGGCCCTCGCAATGAGAACCGGTGGGGTCTCCAGGATTTGGCCATAAACTTGGGGTATAGAACTTGCACCCGGGCAAGCATTTTTTCCTATTTTGTTCTCTTCTGCCTCTAGCATGTGTAGGGTGTTTGGCACAGGGTAGGCTCGGTGAATATTTGTTAAATGAATGAATAAAGTTTTGAGCAATATCTAAGGATGCTTTCAGTGAGAACAGAAGCCCTGGGCTGATCAGAACACAATAATGGAATCCTGCACACAGAAGAAAATGCACATGTATGTAATCCAAAGATGAATAAATCTGATAATAATAGAATTCTACAGCAATTAGAAACATTGCTTAAAATAATTCCTCCTGACATTTCAAAGGAAATAACTATGTCATTTAACAAAGTAACACATACTAGAAAGTTTTTCCATTAGCTTAACTGATTTTGTTTATAAATATTTTCATCAGCACTGTGAATAACAGAGCTATTAGTTTGGGGTAATCCCTCCACTGCATAACTCCAGGAAGTTTGGCTCACATCATTTTCCACGTGAATTGAGTTGTCTGCAAATAGCATTTCCTTTCAGTTCTAACTCATAAATTACCCGTAGTGGCAGTTGTATCTCAGAATTATACTGACAGAAAAAAACACTTTAAGTTACCCTCAATACTGTGAGCAATCTGGGAAACTCTCAGCCGTGTGAATCACCTGAAGGTGATAATTTTTGGGAGAATGGGCTGCACGTATCGGGCTGCCTGACTTGCAAAATCAAAATTATTGGGTTCATTCTGGGAAGCTTTTCTGGCTGCTGATTAAGTCCATGGATTTTAGAGACTTGGCTAGCGATGAGTAGGGTTCACTCCTGATCCCCCCTCACTTTGAACAAGTCAGCCTTCTAATTTGCTGGTTCCTTGTCACTAACACACACAAAACAAGTCTTTCATATTCCACTTTATTTATTTAAAAACAATGGACTTAAAAAATACATATTGGGAAATGTGAGAGGTGCTGAAGGTTAGTAAAATAATGTTTTTTTTTCTGAATCCTGGTGTCAAAACCAGAACTAAACTAACATGAAATATCTCTTTGTGTCTATGTGTCTATTTGTCTATGTGTCTGTCTATCCATCTATCCATCTATCCGTCTATCTATCTATCTATCTATCTATCTATCTATCTATCTATCTATCT